GTTTATCCTCTTGACTATTCTGGTACATTTCCAGAAGTCTGTCTGCATAGCACTGCGGACTGGCTTTCGTCCATAGGCAGGTGCCAGCAGGGAGTAGGGTCATCGTGGGACATTGAAGCTGACTTCCTTGTGGTGGTCCCAGTGAGGAAACAGCCCTCCCAGTTCACGTTTCTCAGGCTGCACACTGGACAGTCGCTTCATCAGCTGAGAGGGTATACTGCACTTTCACATCATACCCTTTGATATAACCTTTTGCAACCCTGAGTAATTTTTACATAAAAAGAGGCTTAACTTTCATTTGTAAATTTTTTTGTTAATTTAACATCATGTTTTGCCTTCAAAAGAATTAAGTTGAACAGATGAAGTCATTTTTTTCATTCTTCCTCTAGAATCAGTTTGAAAATACCTGCCTTTACACCTGTGTTTCCTGCATCTGTGTAAATGGAAAGTTACAATACTGTCCTGCGGCATTGTTTTCTTTTTTGTTGTTAATCCTCACCCATGGATATTTTCTCCATTTTTTTTTTTTTTTGAGAGAGAATGGAAGGGGAGGGAAAGGGGAAGAGTGACAGTCATTGATGTGAGAGACACACATCGATTGGTTGCCTCCTGCACGCACCCCAACTAGGGCTGGGGATCGAACCTGCATCCCAGGTATATGCCCTTGACCAGGAATCAAACCTGTGTGCGGGCTGATGCTATAACCACTGAGCAATGCTGGCCAGGGCTGTGGGCTTGTATTCTTGATTGTTCCTGGAACCATGAGGCTCTTCAGTGGGTGACACTTAGAAGAAGGATGGCTTTTTCTCCTGCATATCACTGTTGAGCACCAGGGCCAAGTACAGGGTTTGGACAAGGTGAAGTGGTCCTAGTGCAGGTATTTGAGCATCAGAAGCCCTCTTGCTTCCCCCCCAACCTGTGATTCGAGAGGCTGGGCAGGGCCTGTGCGCCACGGTGCCAGTGGGAAACCTCATAGTGCAGAGGGCACAGCTATGGTGTAAGGAGAGGATAGAGTATGGAGGACAGCCTGGTAGGAAGCTGGTTCTGAAGGCGGGAGTAAGAAGTAAGGTTCACTGTGAGTTTACAGAGACCTCAAGTTGTCATCCCTTCTTGAGAGTAGGGCTGCCCTGCCGGCATTCCACACAGACAGACACACAGACAGACACACACACACACACACACACACACACACACACACACAGTCTCAGTATCACTTTGACAAGATGTTGACTTGCTGTTTGGAAAACAACACTGAGCTCTCGTCCAGTGTTTACATTGCTTTAAATATGTTATGTAAACACCAGGAGCTTGCTAAGCACTTGTTATTTCTGAGAAAGGCCACTCAGTCTGTGGCAGTGTTGGTAGTTAGGCTGAGCTCCAGTTCACATCTGCACTGTGCAGTGTTGATGGCTGTCAGGGAGGCAGGGTGGCATCGCCCAGTACCTCTAGTGGTTCAGGATGCTGCCGCCTGCCCTTACTGCAGATTCACATGGGATTCTCCTGCTCAAACACTTAAGCTTAAATATGCGCAGTATCACTAGATACCACCTTCGGTTTGACTGTATTCACAGTCACTTAGCATCGGTGCTTGAATGTGGGAAGGTTCACCCACCACAGGTCCTATCTTGAGATTTAATGCCCGTTTGCATGGGTCCTTCCTGAACTGCTAAACAACCCAGAAGTGGCCACCTGTACTCTTTCTGTTGCCCCATCTCCCCTTCATTCATTCTCAGCACAGATTGTGTCACTCCCTGTCCAGTCCTCTGTGCTCGCCTCTTTGCCCAGTTCTTCCTGCTCTGGTCACACTACCTCCATTTCATTCCCAGAGCACATGGCCCTTCCCAGCCCAGGCCAGTGTAAAATTCTTCTTCTTTTGGAACCTTTTCTGTGGTTCTGCCCATGGGTGGCTGCTTGCAATCCTCTCCTTACTGAGGCTGGCTCTGGTCTATCTGAAATGGTCAGCTCTGCGCCTATGCTGTGTGACGCTTCCTGTCTTGCAGCTGCCACTTCTCTGTTCATTGTACCCACGCTCCTCTCCACTCATCAGCTCAGTATGGGCAGCTCTGCTGGCTGACTCAGGTGTCCATGAGATGTAGCCGAGAATTTCAGTGTGTTCACTTCCGGCTTGGCCCAGAGCAGTGAGGAGGTGATTCTGAACCAGATGTGGGGAAGCTTGCCTGTTGTCATATTAGCTGGTGAGGCAGCCAGCCACCTAGAGGATCTCAGGATTCCTGCATTCTAGCAACTTCCTCACTAATCAGAGCCTCTACTCCTCAAAGATCTCTGTCATGAGGTGCTAAATGTCCCTCTCAGGCTTGATTTAATGGGAACTCAGTATGGTGTGTTTTGGAGGGTTTGGCACAAGGGGCAGAGTTTGTTTCTGGGAGCCTCCCAGGGAAGGCGTAGAGGGCCTTCCAGCCCCCGTCCTCCAGTCCTCCGAGTCCTCCTACTGCCCCTTTAGGTCACCGTGTCTGGGACACACCCTTGCATCCCGTCCTGGGGACTCTGGCATGAATATTCAGTCCCACTGAGTCCATTAACTATCTTTAACCATGTTTTGAAACAAAGTATTGTTTCCTGGTCCCAGAAGACTGTCCTGCTTCAGCCCCTGCCCTTTTCTCTATAGCAGCCCTCCTCTCCCTCCTTATCTCCCATTCCTGTTCCTCCTTCCCTGTGCCTTTTCTCCTCCCACTTCCCTCCCTCTGCCTTCTGCTCCCCCTTCCTCCCTCTGCTTTGCTTCATGGATTGACTGCTACTGATGAACGGTGGTTCTTCTGCGCTAGAGTCCCATCTCCTCCATACTTAGGTCACGTGTGTGTTTGGTTTCTCTGTAAATGGCTAAATGTAATAGTAGCTGACTGACGGTCAGAAAAGTGCATATATCTGAGCATATGGTCATGGTACCGTATCTCCGCTCTCAAATCATTGACGCTTCTGAGAAATGATACTACTTACTCACCTCTTACTCTGAGTTCCAAAAATTAGATTTGTGATTTGTTTTTTGGCCTTAGCCAGAGCCAGGAGCCTAGCCTCAACCGCCCTAAATAGTCCTTCAACTGCCGGTCTGCCCGTGGCAAAGGGTCATCTTGCCAGAGTTACCACGCCTCGCCTGATGTTCCTGGAAATCTCATGGTTCAAGAGCACGGCTGGGAGAGGCCGCCTGTGAAGGAGGCAGGGTGTATGAGTCATAGACAGCTCGCCACTTGGTTTTCTGCTCTGCCCCAGGCCTTTGGCAAAGCAAGGCAGGTTGGCCACTCTTTCTGAGGACTTCTTCTGTGTATGGAAGCTGGATTGTAAATATCAGGACACTTCAGAGTAAAGTGAATGAGAAATTTTGAAGCAGTGGTGACTGTGGCTGTGACAGTAGTTGGCAGCCCAAGCCTAGTGGACACTCAGCAGAAGGCTGTGTCCCTCTGATAGCTCGGCCAGCCAGAGGGAGGCTCTAACTCCCTGTTGATGTCCTTCCTTCCCACAGTGGCGTATTTGTGCAGTAACTATATCTTGTACCTTAACTTGCTTCCACATTAGGGTCAGAAGAGATTGTTTGGAAAGCTGCTGAGTTTCAAGGCAAAGTCAGTAGTTCTTTTGAGTTGTGGTCTTAGTGAAGTGCTTCTCCTTCTGGGTGGGAGAGCTGGCCCCTCACTGTCCTTCCTCTTTCACTGTGGCCTTGCTGAAGGTAGAGAAAACAGGGCCCTTCCCACACATGATGTCGAGTTCTGGGTGTTTGCATTTTAGATGACCCTTGAGAAAAACAAAGGCTGGGGCATGTAGACGCAAGGCTTGGTAGTATTCATGCCATTATTAGTAACCTTTGAGATCTTAAAGCCACAAATGTGCATTCCACAGGATTAAGGGAAGAATGAGTGGCAGGAGAGGAAATTTCGTTGTGAGGAGAGGAGAGGAATCATGGTGCTCTGAGCAGGAGGCCGGGAAGTGCTTCTGATCTGTATACTTCCAGGTTCACTGCTGGGAAGCCAAGGGAGAGGGGGTGAGGTATCACACAGAAAGACAGTGGAAGGACTCAGTGTGGAGAGGAGTGTGGGAAGCTTAGCATCCCCTGAGCCCTTTATTCATGCTGAGCTGGCTGCCACCCAACTCCTCAGCAGGTCAGAACAACAGCTTACATCATGCAAATAGTTTGTCTCACTTAGGATGTGCTCAGCTTCCAAGCGGCCTCTTCTCGGAACAGTTCCAAGTGGAGACTTGAGTCACAGAGTCCTCTAAACACAGGATTGCGCGTTGATTCTCATCCCAGAGACGGAACACTCCGTGTGGCTGTCCTGCGCTAATATGGCCAGATTCACAGCCAGAACCCAAGCGAATGTATTCTGTGAGCGGCCTCTCTCTCTCTTCCCTGATGTTGTAACTCTCAGGCCACTCTGATTTGCTGCCCTTCCAGATTCAGGGCGAAGCTGAAAACAAACACAAGTTTTAAAAGGCTCGTTGTCCTGCTGGACTTGTAAAGAGAATCCAGGGTTTGAGGCTAGAGCTTGTCTGATGCCACCTCTTTTAGACACACAGGCCTGTGTGTGGGGTCTTGGCAGCATTGTCATCGGCGCTATGGGGCCTCCACAGTTACCTGTTATCAGACTTGTGAGAGCTCTGGGCAGGCCATCAGGTCGGTGGCAAGCATACCGACAACATACAGCGCTCTGCCTTCTGTGAGTTATCAGGTGGGCTTAGCCCTGTGGAAGCCAGTCTCCAAGGCAGAACATTTTTATGTTAAAACATATTACATTGATTGTCCTGAGATGATCAACAGAATCCCAGGCCGATCCTTTGAGAATGATGTCCTCATTTCTGTTGTTGATCAACTGTAAGATCCCATACCACTCTTTTGTGACCACAGGAATTGCCCCGGTCTTCCTGGCCAACACTTGGGGGAGCTGGGGGAGCGATATGCCGACAGCCCCCATGGATCTTTCTTGTGCACATTTGAGCTGAGCACTGGGCCCTTTGGAGGGTGTGAGCTTGTCTGAGACTCCTCTTCTCTCTTTCAGAGGACTACCCCAATGGCACCTGGCTGGGGGACGAGAACAACCCCGAGATGCGGGTGCGCTGCGCCATTATCCCCTCCGACATGCTGCATATCAGCACCAACTGCCGCACGGCAGAGAAGATGGCGCTGACGCTGCTGGACTACCTCTTCCACCGGGAGGTGCAGGCCGTCTCCAACCTCTCGGGCCAGGGGAAGCATGGCAAGAAACAGCTCGACCCCCTCACCATCTATGGGATCCGGTGTAAGTGTGGGTTTCCTGTTCTCTGCTCACCTCCTTAAAGAAGGACCTGGCTGGAGGGTGGGGCCTGTGAAGTAGGGCTTTGGGACGAGTCAGGATCTCCATTATTGGGTAGGAGAAGATGTCAGAACTAGTCACAGAGCAAGGAGAGGGATTTCTGGGTCGAGCATTTTCTTTAGTAAGTATTGCCTGGTACCCAGCCCATGGGAAAGACAGGGAGAGTGGGCCTTTCAGACTCTGAGAATCATTTTGAGTAGCTTACTGAGAAACTGTATGTGAAATCAACTGACATCAGTCCCTCAGGTGGGAATTAATTAATCAGTTCTCAGATGAACAGTGTTGCAGGAGTCAGTAGACTTTTCCTAAGGGACATGTAGTTGATGTGTTAGGCTGCGGGCATAGGGTCTGTGTTGTGAACTATTCAGCTCTGAAGCAGCCACAGACCAAATGTAAACAAATAGGTGTGGTTGTGTTCCATAAACTTAACTTTCAAAAGCAGACAGAAGTCTGCCAACCGACTGCCAATGCATGCTTTAGAGCATGATGCCTAGAGCAGAGGGCACCACTCAGATCTGTGGGCATGGCACTCATGTGTGTGCAGCCTTGGAACATGTAGGTTTGCATGGTGACAAACCATGTGATGGTATGTGACAGTGTAACCCACAGTGCGAGGTGCTGTTGGGATGTAAAGATGAACAAGAAGTGGCTCCAACTGCACAGTATGCAGTCAGATATATGTGAATAGCTGCAGCTGCAAGAGTCACAGGGCGGTTGACCACGCTGCAGTGGTTGATGGCGAAGGCCCTGAGGGAGAACGGTGTTTGTGCCAAGGCTCCGAGAGTGGCCTGGATTGGCCCAGCATTGTGCAGTGTGATGGCCTCTGGGTGGTGGGCCACTGTTCCCGTAGGGAGTCATAGGGCTACTAGCAAGGGGTGCTGATGATTGGAGGGGTGCCTTGGAACGTGTGTGCAGACTGTGACACACAGGTTGTTAAACAGAGGCTTGGAGAATGTTCCACAGCAGTGGTGGGGAAGCTGGGCAGTGGGACTCAGAGCAGAAGCACATAGGGATGGGGATGGGGATGGGGTGGGGATGAATGGACATGCTGTGGAGTCACCACTGGGAGTCTGAGTGGCGTTGGGGAGGCACTGCATCGTCAGAACAGGCAAGTCCTATTTCCCTGCAGGTGGGGAAATTGGCCACCTTCTGAGTGCTCCTTTATTTGGGAACCATTGCAAATTGCTGCCTTCTCAGTGTTAAAATTCAGATGGAATTTTGAAAGGTTAAAAGTATTTGTTGACCTTTTTTCCTTTTGGCCCAGTTTAGTTTGTATTGCTGATTGTTACTCAAAAAACTGAACAAATGAACGAATGGATTAAATACTGAGCACTGAGTTTAAATAGTGGCGAGTGTAGGCATTGGCTACTTGGTCACGCGCAACCAATTCTCTGCTGTTTCTGCAGAGTCTGGGTGACATGGACACCTTCAGTAATTCTCAGGTGGTCGTCTTTCCTTGTGTCTGTTTTCACACGCTGTCTTCTCCGTATTTTTATTGTCACCTGGCGTCTTCTCTCTTTGTCTCCATCATCACACAGCCCTGTTGTCTTGTGCCTCTGTCGTCACATGTTTCATCTTCTCCCTGTGTCTCGTCTCCTCTCCTTATAGGGATATCCGTCATATTGGATGTAGAGCCCACTGCTCTCCAGTATGACCTCATCTTAATGTAATTAATCACCTCTGCAAAGATTGTATTTCCAAGGGAGGTCACATTCCGAGCTTGGAGAGCCTGACAGCGGCATCGGGCTCCCCTGCTATAAACTGAGGAGTGGTGTCACTTATTGTGCTTATCTTTAGTCAGTGGATCACCACTGCTTGGGGAGAAGAGGTGGACCTGGCCTTGAAGCTAGGACACACTGGGTATGCAAGGTGCGAGGCGTGCTGACCCCATCCGCATGAGGGAGCATGCTGGCCAGTTTCCCCTCAGAGAGCTGAAGATTTCTGTTGTTTTTCTAGGCCAGTCACTATGAAGTCAGGACTGTAATTTTAAGAAATAAATTGCTGGCACTCAGTTTTCTGCTTCTTTTCCCCCCCTTGAACTTGAGATTACATTAGCAGTGATAGTGTTTTTCATTCCTTTGTGACTGATAAGCCTCTTGCCACCCACCGGGGATGCGAGATTATGTCTCTGTTCATTTGATTTCCTCTGTTCCTCTTTCCCACAGTGTGTCTCAGCCCCTCTGTGGGGCTCATTATTTGAGAGCTGGGAATCTGTTTTTGTGATTTGAACCACCATTGTCAACCATGGGCATTCTGGAAAGTGGGAAGGCAGTTAACAGTGACGGACTCTCAGATCTTCAGGAGGTGGCCCGATAGCTTGTTAGCAAAGCAGATGGGCCAGCTCTCAGGGGCTGTCTTTCTGGGGGTGGCCTGGGGGCTTGCCTGCTGAGCAGCTCTCCCACAAAGATGCTGAGAGAGCTGTTTGGCTCACCCTCGGGTGAGATGGCTCTGCAGCTCCCCAGGGACCCTGTGCAAGGACCCTTCAGCAGCGAACCAGAAATGGCCTTAGAGTTGAGCAGTGTCTCCTCCACAGGGCAGCCAGGGTGATAGCCTAGTGGTGGGGAGTCATACAAGCAGAGGCTGTGGCGTGAGATTGATGTCATCTTCTCCCTGGTCCCCTGAGTGTCCCCCCAGGGGGTCTCTTGGATGCTGTTGAGGGACAGAATGAAGCACTCCTGGGGTTTATGCTGTGACCATTTCTTCTCCACATGGGTGGGCGCTGGGAGGCCTGACTTTAAAGCCGGGTCTCACTCCTAACTGATAATTCAGCTTGTAACTGAAGTGAGGGTAATGGCATTCTTATTTCATGAGGTTTTCTTATGAGATAAAATGCTTTACAAGTGTGAAGTACCAGTTAAGTTCAAATGAAGAATGCTTTAGGAAAAGTCAGAACAGCAGCATCCAGCAGTACGTGAGGTCAGGGGGCTGCATCCTCTGCCATCAGGACTCCTTCCTGGAGCTGCCTGCTGATGGCCAAGGGTTCTTGAGGGCAGAGCTGACTCCACTGCCCCATTGGATCCATCCCCTGTTGCTCCCCCTAGGGCTCTCAGCAGGGGAACATTTGTGTTGCTGATTCATTAGTTAGTTTTTCTTGGCAGTCATCAGGGTGGCATTTGCCATGCATTTGAGTCTTAAGTTGCTTTTGGAAGGAATTATGTAATATGATGTCTTAGGAGAATTAAAAAATGGATAATATATAACTACATGAATGTATATTTTTTTTTGTCAAAGGATGTAAGCCAGGTTTTCACTGGCAAATTGGTTTTTACAAAGTTGAATTTATATGTTCATGCTTATGCTCATTTCTTATATTTATATATCTGTGTGTGTCTTGTATATATTTTCTGTTCCTGACAAGTTTTTAAAATTGTGTATAATTTCATTTATCCCTTGAGGCATTCAGTTGGTTTTCCTTGAATGTGAAGGTGTGAGAACAGGAGGATGGTTTGTAGAATGTTTCTCTCTCTCTTTTTTTAAATATACTTTTATTGATTTCAGAGAGGAAGAGAGAGGGAGAGAGAAATAGAAACATCGATGATGAGAGAGAATCATTGACTGGCTGCCTCCTGCACACCCCCTACTGGGGATTGAGCCCACAACCCAAGCATGTGTCCTTGACTGGAATTGAACCCAGGACCCTTTAGTCTGCAGGCCAATGCTCTATCCACTGAGCCAAACCGGCTAGTGCTAGAATGTTCTCTTGAAGCATATAACCTAATTAGAGGCCCGGTACATGAAATTTGTGCACTGTGGGGGGGGAGATGGGGGAGGCGTCCCTCAGCCCTGCCTGTGCCCTCTCGCAATCTGGGACCCCTCAGGGGATGTCCTGCATTGAGCATCTGCCTCCTGGTTGTCAGTGCGCATCATAGCGACTGGTCAACTGGTCATTCTGGTCGTTTTGCCATAATGGTTATTTAGGCTTTTACATATAGATATAGATTTAAATATAGATATAGATAGGTAGATATAGATAGATAGATAGATAGATAGATAGATATAGATATAGATACATATAGAAAAGATATTTTGTACTGTGTGTGGTTGCTGTTTCTTTTCTTGTCTTGGAAACCACAGTTGTAGTTGGGCAACTATGCAACTATAGTTAGGAGTTGGGATCTCCTGTAGCTACATAATTCTAGTTTTGATAGTTGCACTCCCCTGTAACTACAGTCAGGAGTTGGGTTCTCTTGTAGATACATAACTGTAGTTCTGATAGTTGCATTCCCCTGTAATTACAGCCAGGAGTTGAGTTCTCCAGTGACTATACAACTACAGCTAATGTTTGTTTCTTCTGCAACTACGGCAGTGGTTGGCTTTTGTTATCACTAATGTTGGTCACTAGCCTGGAACTTCGTGAGGCCATCCCCTGCACCTAAAGCCATACCTGGCATGTAGCAATCCCTCAGTAGGTATTGATGAATGATTCTGTGATTATTTTAGAGATGACCTGAATATCAGAAAGCAAAGATTCATGCTGCTTCATTTATGTATTTCCTTTTATGCATGAGGATTACAGTGCTGCTAAAACTACTTCAGGTTTTTGTTCTTTCAGATCCTATAAATCCTACCCCTCCTTCCCTCAATTTTTTTAATCTAGATTATAGAAATTTGGGTTTTCATTACATTTAGAGTCAAAGATGTCTTAAGCATATGCTCATAGAAAAACTCCAGAAATGTCTTTCCAAGATGAAAGAAACTTTTGATACTTAATAGAACAAATACTGCCTTTGTTTTGATTATTTGTAGTATTTTGGTCTTGAGAGGGACAGATTTTAGGAATTGTACATCAAGTTAATTCTTAGTAGATGGTCCTAACTTAATGCTCTTAGTAGTTGAAACAGGATGTTTTTTAGCTTAATCTTTTTATTATTCAATTTTTGAATTTCATCCATTTGTTTTCCCATTAATCAGTGAAGTTGCATGAGCCAGCTAGAGAGGAGGTCACCCTGCTGAAGCATTTCTTGTAGTTCCCACGTTCATGACCTTACTTTCTGTTGATTCAGCATAAAGAAGAGGTGGTATGGTCTAGTGAGAGGTGGACAGGGCTGGCAATGAAGGGTCTCCATCTGCCACCCACTCCTCAATGGCCTCCCCTGTCACTGGGTTCCTCTTTGTTGATAAGGGGGTCTCTGAATGTCATTCAGTCACATATTGAGAGCTATCTGTGATGTAAGAGGTTAACAAATGTGGGTGCCAGTAATATGCTCTGTTAAGTGCAGGCTAAACTACTGGACTGCAAGACTACATGCACCCTCTGTGACTAGCAGTTCAGTTCTATTTGGGTGTGGGGGCTCTAGGGCAGTGGTCGCCAACCGGTGATCTGTGGACCACTGGTGGCCTGTGAGGTCCTAAAGGTAGGCGACCACTGCTCTAGGGAGTAAAATATCACCTCTGCCCTTAGGGAGTTTCCATTCTGATGGGGAGGCAGATGGAGACACATGGAGAGTTCCACAAGCCAAACGCAGACTCAAGTTGCAATGGAGATGTTTTAAGAAGAGTTGTAGTCACCAGTTAGTCAAGTGTTGAAGCATTTACTATGGGCCCAGATAGTCTTGGTTCTTGGCATACATGGGTGCACAAAACAAAGATCCCTGTGTCTGTGAGAGAAACAAAGAGTAAACACAATAAATATATAAATTCTCTAAAATGTTAGAGACCGAGGACAGGAGTGGAGGTGGGAGGAACCTTAGGGTCAAAGGGACTGGTTAAGGGTGGGATAATTGAGGTCCTCTTCAAGCCAAGACTTGAAAGAAGGGAGGGAGGCAGCCAGGAAGACATAAATAAACAGAGATGGAGGCTGGAAAAACAGTTTTGATAAAATGATTGGAATCTTTGATTTTATTGTCGACATTAAGGAAGTTAGAGGAGAGAGAAAAGTTTGTGGAGCATATGGGAAGCTCCTGTGAGCCTCACCACCTCGCTTGTTACCTTATTTCCATCTGGTTTGGGTGGGTCCAGTCAGAGTTATTTAAAACTTAAATAAATGAAAAGAATTTATAACATATAACCAGCATGCCTGCGGGGGGAGCGGAGGGGCTCTCAGCTCCAATCACATTTTTGTGTTCAAATTGCTCCCAAACAGCCAGGACCCAAAAGGAAGGCCTTCACCTCATGGTGTTTTTATTTGGGACATTTTCTTCCAGGTCACCTCTTTTATAAATTTGGAATCACGGAATCTGACTGGTACCGAATCAAACAGAGCATCGACTCCAAATGCCGGACAGCCTGGCGGCGGAAACAGCGAGGCCAGAGCCTGGCCGTCAAGAGCTTCTCTCGGAGAACACCATCCTCCTCCTCTTACAGTGCATCAGGTACGCTTAGGGAAGCAGCCTGGAGCAGTTTGCTTTGCAGGACTTGGGGGGTGCTCCTGAATAAGGCCCCTTACCTGCCGAATCTATAGCTGCCCCTCGGATACTAGCAATTCAAGCCTTAACTCTGTGCACACATGTCAGCTTAAGTTATTTAGAAAATGCTGCTTCTGTGACGGTGGGGAGCCACAACCCGACCCACTTGAGGCTCTCGCTGGCAATAGAAGAGGGCATGTGGACCAGGGCCACCACTCACTGATGCGCTGTGGGCTGAGGCAGAAGGACGGTTCAATCAGGACATGCCATGCGCTGTGCTGAGCAGCTCCTTTACCTCCTCCCTCTGCCGAGTTATGTACCATGTTGCTCCATGCGAGGTGTTTGGAGTAGGAAGTAACACAGATGGGTAAGGAGGAGGGTGGCATTCAAGGTGGGCTTTTAAAAAACCCAGGAGAGAAATGAGCATAATTATATTCCCTTGCCTTCAGGTGTTTATTTGTCTGGAGAGGATGAACAATGTCTTTCTGAGCCATTATATTTAGTCTCATGCTCCTACTAATAAACCCTGGCAAGTGCCGCCTTCCTGCTCAGTTTTGGAGAGGCCAGGGGCTTCCTCCTTGTGAGTGCTGGAATCAAATTGGTTTTGAGAGAAGCATAGAGCATATTCAAGTTTTAAAATAAAACTTTAAGAAAAGCACATTGCTTTTTAAATTTGTGTTGTTTTAATTGTTCTCTATTTTAATATACTGCATACTTGGCTAAAATTAGGTAAAGCAAAATAGGTGGTTAAAGGGACTTCTGGAATTTTTGTCATTGTTCTTTTTGCATACTCAGCCTAACAAAACAAATCTGATAATGTAAGGCTATTCTGGTGACAGAAATAATTCAGTAAAATGTAACTAAACTAGGATCTTATTATTGGTAGTAGTTCCATTTGGAGTGTCTTGCTTACTTTTGAATTATCAGCTGACATCAAAGGAACTTCCAAATAAATGCTATAAATAAAATTCTGAGCCAAGGTTAGTACTGCCAGTTTGAACACAAACCATAAAGCCACTAGTTTCAAAGCATTTAAAAAGAATCAATTTATTAAAACATTTGAGTTGCTCTCTCTTATCTAGCAGTACTGTATACATTTTTATATGTGCTTGCTTTTAAGATGGCCACATTTTATTGTTTAAAATACAATTCAGCATTTCCCCCCCACAGGTCTCATTGGTGAGATGAAGACCTTAGGTAGGCATCTATTTAGTGCCCAATATTTTAGAGTTGCAGGGAACCAGCTCTTGGAGCTGGTTTTCCACTGGACATAGAGAAGAGCCAGGCCGGGGAGGAGAGGAGGCCCATTGGGTGGCTTGTCCTTTCTGTTTCAGTCTCTTCCAATGGGCACTGTGCTCCAGAGCCGCACCAGCACTGTCCCTTGGCCTCGGGTCTATCCGACCATGCTTGTCTCCTGTCACTTGCCATAGATCTTGGTCTGTTTTTGATCACAGAGTCACCAATGCAAGTTTTTGTACTAGACTTTGATATCTATATAAATTACAAAACATGAATTTAAAGTGGTCTTTATGTTGTATAATTATAGGGAGCTATTGATTAAATGGTAAATTCAATAATTTGAATCTTAGGTTTGGGAACAATTATACACACAAATCCTATCTATGGTTTTTTGGAACTCTGGGGACTGTCATTCCTTTTGATTATATTTTTGAAAACCAGCAAAATCAGTTGATTTTTATTAACATTGGAGCAGAAATTATTTAGGAACCTATTTAGCTATATAGCTCTTATTAACTGGCAGAGTGGATTTTAAATGTTTTGGTCATTACCCGCTTAAAGAAATTTGGAAAAGTGTTCTTTGCATATTTTTAAGTTGACATTTTAAAATGTTGACACCTAAAATTTTTAATTATACTTTGAAATAATTTAAAAGGATGTAATTTCTGGCATACTGCTGTATTACTTACTTACTAACTTATTTATTTATTTATTTATTTATTTTTATTGATTTCAGAGAGGGAAACATCAGTGATGAGAATCATTGATAAGCTGCCTCCTGCACGCTCACTACTGGGGATCGAGTCCCCAACCCTGGGCATGTGTTGACCTCTTGGTTCATAGGTTGATGCTCAACCATTGAGCCACATCAGTTGGGCTGCTATATTACTTTAAAAAACATACATGCAGGGGACTCAATATACCATGTCAATTTGATGTTCATCATTAAATTATTTAAAAAATACATGAAAAGCTTTTCTTTAGTAAAAGTACTTAAGAAAAGTACTTAAGAAAATTTATCTGATTGAGATTTTACAGTTAAAATTAATACACATTATCAAAACAAAAATCATTTGGGATTAAATATAGAAAGTAAAATTTTATTAGAGGTGTATCTTTAAATAGGTGAGTGGAGCTTTTTTCTTTAGTTAGTTTAATTGTCCAAGGACAAATACTACTTATTGCTGATTGAAAACAGAGTTTAATATCTACTTTTTTTACATTTTTCATTTTGTCAATATATATCCTGAGAAACTTCATTTAAATAAGTAGATGTGAATAGTCTGTTGGTGAATAGTCAGTTCTTTAGATTCCTTCTATCTACAGGTCAGAAATCTTTCTTATCTAACCCTAATTACTGATAAGCTCTACAAAATGCCATGCTCTCTGTTGGGGCATGTTGACTTGGATTTCAGAATGAAGAATTTCCCTCTTCTGTCGGAGTTTGGGTTTGGGGTTGGGGTTGGGGAAGAGAAGGCAGCCTGGATGTGTGTACCTATGCTTGTCTCCTGGGTTGATGCTGAGCCATCTGTTTTCCCACAGAGAGCCTGATGAGCACGCCACCACCCGCCAGTGAGATACCACAGCCCCAGCCGCAGGCCCTGCACTATGCCCTGGCCAACGCCCAACAGGTCCAGATCCACCAGATTGGAGAGGATGGACAGGTCCAAGTAGTATGTACCTTTCTACTAGCCTGTCTCCATGAATGAACTGGAAGGGAAGGTGTGGCAGGGATTGGGAAAACCAAGACCAGTTCTCCCTGTGTTTCTGGATCACATGGATAGTTTGGGATGAGGGAAAAATGCATGTTAAATTTAAAGTAATTAGGGTGAGAACTCTTACATTTCAAAAGGAAGGTCATTACTGGGTAACCCTGACATTGTCGAGGGCCCTTCATGGCTGTGCTGCACCCGCTGGTCACTGTCAGCTCTAAGGGTGCATGCTGCTGCCTGTCCTCCTGGGAGGCGTCGTAGATGTGTCATAGTTATTTTCTCACTTTGGAAACACAAGTGCCCTTTTACTGGGGGAAGAAAAAGTAATTTCCTTCTGGGATCAATGAAAAAGCTGGTCACCTTAGTTATTGTGTAGCATTTCCTTTGGCTAGTGGGACATGCGTTGAGCTTGTGTGGGCAGTTAGCTCAGCGGTGAGTTCACTTAGCCTTGTGGCTCTGTGTGGGTCCTGTAGCCAAGGTGTGGGGGGCAGGAACTTTGCTAGAGAATGGGATGTTTTCAGTGTGCCCCTGAGATTGTGTTGATGTTTGAGTCACGCCTAGACTCTTTTTTTTTTTTAAATATATTTTATTAATTTTTTTTACAGAGAGGAAGGGAGAGAGATAGAGAGTTAGAAACATTGATGAGAGAGAAACATTGATCAGCTGCCTCCTGCACATCTCCTACTGGGGATGTGCCCGCAACCCAGGTACATGCCCTTGACCGGAATCGAACCTGGGACCTTTCAATCTGCAGGCCGATGCTCTATCCACTGAGCCAAACTGGTTTCGGCTAGACTCTTTTTGTACATCTGCATCACCAGGGCTTTCTCCTGGAACCCCTATCCCATTCAAGGGTGACCTCAGTTTGATGTCACCTGTCTCAGTTTGATGTTACACTGCCTGGAAAGGGGTGCGCTTCCAGAAAGTATTGATGAGGACTTTTAATGAAGTTTTTCTTCCAGAGGAGATGAAGCAGTTAAAAGAAGTGAATTCTTTGTTTAATTGACAGTCACAAAGGCAGTTACTCTTTAAGAAAGTTTTGTGAAAGAATTTCAGAATAAGTTGGACACAGGGTTCACATAGACATAGTAATATGAAATCAATAGAAATTTCTGCAGTAGTTTAATATTCATTTTTATTAAGATAGAATTTTATTTTATTTTTTAAAAAATATTTTTATTGAATTCAGAAAGGAAAGAAGAGGGAGAGAGAGATAGAAACATCAACGCTCCCTACTGGGTATTGAGCCCGCAACCTGGGCATGTGCTCTTGACCAGAATGGAACCTGGGACCCTTCATTCTACAGGCCGACACTATCCCTGAGCCAGACTGGCCAGGGCAAGATAGAATTTTTAAATACAATCATGGGTATTCATATCACTGAGCAGTATCACTGAGCAAAGTTAAGATTTATTGGAACTACTTATCTGCCTGTTTCTACAAACATAAATGCATTGTATAGTTGGATGTTTTGATGTATTTATTAGTGTCTATTCCAGCTGTTTAGTCATGTGTTTCTTTAATTTAAAAAATATTGACTGACCTGTTTTTGATGTAGATGCACATGTACAAGTCCCCTCCCCACAATCCCACACTGCTCTGTAGCCATGCCACACTCCCAGATCTCTGGGAGACCCTTCCGGGTAGTTCCACAAAGGGTCTCTTTTTAAAAATATTTTTATTGATTTCAGAGAGGAAGGGAGAGGGAGAGATAGAAACATCAGTGATGAGAGAGAATCACTGATTGGCTGCCTCCTGCATGTCCCTGCACTGGGGATTGAGCCTGCAACCTGGGCATGTGCCCTTGGCTGGAATCGAACCTGAGACCCTTCAGTCCACAGGCCGACGCTCTATCCACTGAGCCAAATCGATTAGGGCACACAAAGTTTCTGATCACTCTGAGTTAATAGTATGATTTTTTTTTAAAAAGTAATTCTAATTTTCTAGAAATTTCTGTTTCCATTTTTTTTCTATATGTTCTTCATATTCTGAAATTTGCTTGTTCAGTTTAAGCAAATTTAAAGACTTAACAGAATTTTCCTAGGCTCCATTGCTTCTTTAAGAATTACTGCAAAATGTTCTGTATGTGTTATATACTAACAGTTTAATTTCAAGAGGCTATTAAGTAGCTAATACTATGTACATATTATATTACACTATTCAGGATTTAGTTGTCTTTTTTTGAATTGTGAGCAGATAGTTAAGAACAAAAAATTCAGAAAGTGTTCTTTGTTTCCTCTGGTTTTGATTTTCTTCTGATGCTTCTTGTTGTCTTCTTTCGCTGCGGATCCCACAGGGTCACCTCCACATCGCTCAGGTGCCTCAAGGGGAGCAGGTGCAGATCACGCAGGACAGCGAGGTGAGTCGTGGCCACCAGCACTGCCTGTGGGCTTTCTGCATTCTGATCTTTGTCAAATGGGGCAGACAACTGGGAATCCCCAGACAACACGACGTCCAGCATTGACCACCCGACTCTCATTTCCTTGGGCACAAACTGGCCCTGCCTGTCTTCCTGCCTTTGCTGCACTGCGGGTTTATATGGGCAGTCTAGTTTTCTTTGTCAACACTTGCTATATCCAGTTTTTGCTTCTGGCTGGAGCTGACCTCCAAATACCCTTTTTCTCCCTGCCCATCCTGCTTTCCTGCCTTCCCATCTGAGATGCAGATCTAATTCCCAGCATGGCTGTGGCCCTACTCTCCTGCCCCAGGGAGTTCCCCAGCATGGAGAGTGGGAAGAGCAGGAGGTGGGGCCCTGCTCCTGCGACAGGACCTCACAGGTTCTCCTCACCTTCATGAGCCTGGGCTCTGTCTCTGGAAGACCAGTGCCCACGTTGTGGGTTGATTGGGAACTGGTGAGACCGCAGGTGTACATCCTGTGAGCTTTCAGTGCATCTTTTCATGGCTCTTCCCATTCCTGCCACTCCTAGGATTGCCTCAGCTGCCTTAAGTTCATGAGATCCAGGCTTCTAATCACTGGTGGTGTTCTACTTTTCATTGATTCTAATCCATGATAAAGACAGAATGTAGGGAGTCCATCCCAGCTGCACAAGTGCTGTTGCATATGTGTATCAGCTGCCATAGGGGGTCAGTGCGTGAAGGTCAGGTAGACCATCTGTGTTATTGGAAGGTGAGGCCAGCTGGTCATGGCGCTGATATTCTCTGAGCCCCTCAGGGGGGACCTTGTCTTTCTAGCCTTCTTGTCCAGGGCATGGGTGGTTGTTGGCCGCCTGTTAGGGGAACACTGACGATCGTTTCCTACAGCACAAGAGAGCATCAGTAGACTCAGTGTACTTGTCTTTCTCTGACTTTGCCTGTGGCTGCCAAGCAGTGCACACTGGTTCTGCTGGCCAAGCATGGTGTGGAACGGCGTGCCCCTGGCAGCATGGACTGGGAGCTAAAAACATACTTATTTCTAGGCTGGGAAGATAGTACCAGCTTTGTGCAGACCTGCACTGTGGTGTGTTGTTACATGGTGTCGGGTTTCCTCACACACCAACGGCGAAAGCAGGTACAGATCCAGCAGCGACTGTGCAAGTGCTAACTTGTCAAAGAGCCTTTCAGGAGAACCTTTTGAGGGAAGCATTTGACTAGTTTAATGGTGCCTAATGGCTTTTCAGAGCTGCTTTGTGGACACTTCTGCTCACATTCTAGCGGCATGCTAGGCTGCTTTCTTTAACTAGATAAGGCATTTGTGCCCCTTTGACTTTTCAGTTTCCAGAACCCAGGGGCTGAGGGGGAGGTGGTGGTAATTTGCTTATTGACTCGTGTGTGAGGCATTTGCTGAGCTCCCAGTCTGTGCAGGTTGCTGTGCAGGCTATTGCTGCTGTGTGAAAATGTGAGGTAGTGGCTCCCCACAGTGCACTGAGATGAGTGTGCTAGGAGGGCCAGAAGTGATGAGCACTTGCTGGTGCAGAGAACAGAGGACTCATGGGAGAGGGGCTCTGGGATACTTTCTTAGGGAAATTCTTTCATTTGGACCCTGAAGATTTGTCCGTGGGCCCAGCCTGCAAAGGGAAGAGATAAGCAGGGCTTCTGAGGGGAGAACAGGGATATGTGGCTGAATGAATTCCTATGAGAGGAGCAGTAAATACCTGGTCAAAGGAGGGGATTGATTCATTCATAGGAGTAATTAATTCAGTAATCGTCATGTGTCCAAACGAGGGAGTGAGAGAAAGCACATTGGTGTGGCTGAAGCTGCGGCAGGGGAAGGAGAGCAGCAGGCAGTGAACTTGGAGATGGCCCTGAGAGGTCTGACTATCAGAGTTAAGGAGCTGGATGGTGAGTGGAGAGTCTGCTGGCTCACCCTAATGTGGGTTCCACGGGAAATGTGCAGAGTGGTGCAGGAAATTTGCAGACTAAGTGGGGTGTCCTGTTGAAGGGCAGGGAGGCTTAATTTTTTAAGATACAGACAAGGGATGGCCAAACGACAATTAAGAAGTGTAAATCTAGAAGGCGGGTACACTTAGTCAGAATGCTTAATTTGCTGGTAGTCATTTGAAAAGAAGGAAAATTGATATAATAGTAAAAGGAAATAATCAACATACATTTTAATATTATTTTTGCTAAAAGAATCATAGTATTTCTTTTTAAAAAAATATATTTTTATTAATTTCAGAGAGGAAGGGAGAGGGAGATATAGAAACATCAATGATGAGAGAAAATCATGGATCGGCTGCCTCCTGCATGCCCCACACTGGGGATTGAGCCCGCAACCTGGGCATATGCCCTGACCAGGAATCAAATCGAGACCTCCTGGTTCATAGGTCCATGCTCAACCACTGAGCCACTGGGGCTGGGCATAAGAATAATTCTTGAATTTAAACTTTTGAAACCGATTTTGTCCCCTTTTTCAGTTTTCATAGCTGAATCCCTCTTGTCTAAATAATCCTGTATTTTTTTTGTTTCCATTAGGAATTGAATGCAATGAATTAGAAGACATTGTTGATAATATTAATGATTACTTTGTAATAGGTTACAATATACAATTGTCTTATCACAATAACTTTTTACCTTGTTCACTTAAAAATAATTATTTTGTCAAAATAAGGATGTCTGCAAAGAGACATTTAGCAGAACCTATCAAACTTAAATCAATTACTTTTTTTTTTTTTTAAACAAGTGAAAATGAATTTCCAACTGGTGAGATCCCAGTAGGCCTGTGGTCTGGTTAATTGTATTGTGTCCTGCCAATTTTGTGCTTGTGATAATGCACTATTCTTATGTAAGATGTCTCCATGGGGGAACCTGGGTGATGGGTACAGGGATTTCTCATTATACCACTTTTGATTCTTCTTGTGAATCTAAACTTGTCTCAAAATAAAAGTTAGAAAAAATTACATTTGCATTTGCGGTCGGGGGAGGGGTGAAAATGTTTTGTTTTTAGTTTGTTATTTTTTATAAGAAAAAATAGTAACCTGTAAACTCAGCTTAAATATTTTGTTTTGAGTGCTTATTTCTACAAGGGTTGAGTTTTTGTAGACTTGGTGTTTGTGGTTTTGCTGGTTACTCACGAATGGCATGGGGAAGTTATTGCCGCTATGTCTTGAAGTCATTTTTATTCTTGATCTCTCTTTTTTTTCATCCATTTTGCAGGGCAATCTACAGATACACCACGTGGGACAGGATGGGCAGGTAAGTGCTCACCTGCCTTCACTCCATGCTGCTTGCTGTAATAGATCCCCAGACACTGCATTGCCACAGGGAGGGAGCGAGGAGTGGGGAGCCAGAGGGCGGAGCTGCATTAGCCCCAGGGAAATACTGGCTTTACTTGGTGGCTAAGGACATCCTGTGGGGACACATTGACTGCAGGACTCTGGGCTGCATCTGCCTCTTTGTGGAGTTTCAGGTAGCTCTTAGAATTGTAGATGAAACTCCACATTTGTTTATAACTGTTTTCTGTAAATTGACATAAATGTTGTTGATCACTGTGTTTGTACAGTAGCTGTAGAATAAAACAAGGTAGGTTTTGTTCATGGATATTGCTGTCAAACTCCAGCTACTGCTGGAATTTTTCTAATCTTGGACAAAAGTAACGGAGACCATCATTGAATACATTTGATATTGAATTGTTTTCACAAAGACAAGTGTGCCAACTGTGAGGGTTTCTAGGGAGTGATTTGCTTTCTGAGATCTAGTGAAATTGCTGGTGAATTTGGGGGATTAAAATTTTCATGTCCTTGCCCAGCTGGCTTGGCTCAGTGGTTGAGCATCAATCTATGAACCAGGAAGTCATGGTTTGATTTCCGGTCAGGGCACATGCTTAGGTTGCAGGCTCCATCTCTAGTAGGGGGTGTGCAGGAGGTGGCCAATCAATGATTCTCTCTCATCATTGATATTTCTGTCTCTCTCTCCCTCTTCCCGCCTCTCTGAAATCAGTGAGATAGATATATCTATAAATTTTTCATGTCCTTTTGAAGAGTTTTTATTAAAGTAATGTTTGTAACCTTTGAATAATTATGACAGATTCTGGATGATCTTCCTTTTTTTTATAAAACATGAACCATAAACACAGAACTCATTTACTTCAAGATAATAATACTTGTTATTCTCAAAACCAAGTGCACGCTCCCCTTTGAAACACCTGTTTTCGCATTGTCACCATGAGTGCCTGATGTCTGCCATGAGCCGGTCGTGAAGAGCATGTGTTGCTAGACTAGGAAATGAAAGGATAGTTACAGTCTTTGGATTTTCTCTTGAACCCTCAGAGGGCCTTGGGAGAATTGCACTTATTTAAATTGGAGTTTCTTGGTTTGAAAATTTCTTCTTGAACATATACATGAGGTTTTAATCAGTGTCCTGAAGCAGTATTAATATATAAATATAACAGCTTCCATGGAAAAGAGCCAAAAAGCCAAAGAAATGAAAAATTAAAATCCACAGTTTCTCTGAGTTGCCTTGGTGATAAAGTTGTGGGCCAGGCACAGTAGAATTGGTTCTCAGCAGCTTCAATGTGATGTTTCTCTTGGTCGGGCCAGAGATGTCGGGCTGGGGCAAGAAAGGACAGGTCACTATCAGTAGTTTCTCTTTGTTCTTGACAATTTAAAGGTTTGTATTCATACTGGGAGGGAAATTTGTTCGCTAATTAAGATATAGCCT